TATGAGATGATGATGGAATCTTCTGATGCATTCAGGGTGGACTCCCACATAAGGTTCTTGGTAAACTTAAGCTCATCCAAAACTCAGCTGCCAAGTTTTTAAACTCACAATAAGTCCTGTTCACTTAATACCTTGGTGCTCACTGACTGACAGTAACTTCTAGTCAAGCGATATTTTTAAACTTTCTCATCCTAATTTTCCAGTCCCTTGTTAGTCTAATTACTGCAGCTCCTTGAGTATTCTCAATTTTAATCATTATTACTGGAGGCTGTGCCTTAAGAAGCCTAGACTCAGAGCTCTGAAATTCCCTCTCTCCCTCGCTTTCGTCCATTAAGATCATTAAGCATGTGTTTTGGCCCATAATCTAGTCATCTGGTAAACATTTCCTCCTCCCACAGCCTGATGTCAATCTGGTTTATAATGTTCTTGTGAAGTGCCTCCGTATATTTTATTATGCTGAAGCCGCTTGATATTTTTCAAATTCACATCCCCATTTTTAATTCATTCACAGCCTTGTCTAACCCCAGCCCTGTAACCTTCTCCAGTCTTTTGACTCTTTGATGATCTTTGCACCCCTCTAATCCCAGCCTCTTGCACAAATCCCATTTTTAATTGCACCACTACTGGGAGCCACACCTTTTATTGCCTGGACCCCTAGTTTTGGAATTCCCTCTCTAAGTCTCTCCCTTGTGCTCTCCTTTGCTCACATAACCAAGTGCCTTCGTGTCAAATTATGCAGCTGTGCATTTTATCAGATGTATTTATAATTTAATATTAAAAAAAACTTGATGACTTTTACATTACCATTGAGATATGTTTACAGTTTCTGTTTCACATTCAACAATCTTGCAATCATTTAATTCATACCATTTATGTATTGTTTCCCACTGTACCAAGAAAACTTAGGACCCATCTTTAAAATGCACGAGGTTAATCAGCAGAGTGTGCTGTTAGTCACTCACTCTAGTCTCTGTTTATCAGATTACCTGACAGCACAGCTTTAAGCCAAAACAGAGTGCACAACAAAATATGTTGCAAATGTCTGACAGTATGTTTCAAGCAGAAAGCCAATCTTAAAAACGCTGCTTAAGTTCTTAAGCTGTACTGTTAAAGCTCTGGTAATTTGATGTTATCTGTACGGGTGGAATTGAATCTCTACGTTGTAAATTACCACTAGACATTTAGCATCCTATACATCCGAATCCATTGGTTAGGATTATAGTCTTGTAAATCTCTCAAAGGTAACCATTATTCATTGTGATTTCAAAGAATAGCGTTACAACACAATTAATAGCATTCGTAAGAAAAGACTACACAGACTGTATGTACAACTTTTCAAAATGCTTTTGTCTATCAGTTTCTGGCGACTAGCAACTTTTAATCATGTTACAGGGAAAAGTAAATATTAAATAATTGCGAATATGGACAGTATATAGAGTCGGAACACCGTGGAATTTATGTTTCAGAACCTCGGGCTGTCGAGCTGAAATGCTGCCAGACCAGATGGATATTTCCAGTGCACACAGTTTTGATTAACCTGGTTCAGTCGAAGAGTGCTTTCCATGAGATGGCGCTCTGAATCTTTACGAGCTGAGCTCGAAATAAACGTTTAATGCTTTCAGCTTATGTTCAAGAACAAGTGAAACCGGTTCGCTCCAAGGTTCTGCTGTCAGTTTGCCAAGAGTGGATAATGAATCCATCCCAGGCTAATGGCAATCCCAATTTATGTCGTAAAAAGAATACGACTCGGATAACTCTGTGAACGTTAGGCATCCAGTGGAAATTTAATTTTAATTGATGTTCATACAATGTCGCTGAACAGCGATCAATCACCGTCACGGGTCTGTAAGCAAACCCATCACACAAAAGGTTTCCTCTAGACTTTTTTTTAAATATAAAAAAAAGGCGACTGAATAAAAATCGCCTGGGATTCTCGAGGTGATGAAAACGTTATCTAGTGAAAATCGCAAAGCTAATAAAAAGGGACATGGAAATAAACAGACAAAACAGATCCCGCCACGGGGTCCAAAAGGTAACGTTTGATTGACATTTAAGCGACGATGAGGCGGTGGCTATGAGCTCAAACACACAAGAGAAATAAATAATGTTAATTTGGGTGTGAAGACATTTCCTCAATCGGTACTGAGTTGGTCATTTTTAAATGATCGGTGTTATGCGGTGATCTGAGAAAAGGGGTTGATGGAGACATGACCAACGAGCTCAAAACCCCAGCAAATGGGCTCATTTAGAGTGTATCGTGTTCAGTCTACACCTCCCACCTTTCCCCATTGAACCCCGGCCACAGGAAACAAGAATCCTAGCGCTTGGACACGTTGGTGTCTCTCAATCTGCGCTTTAAACGACCTTGCTGCTCCGAAACGAGCCAAAAGTTGCGGGCACTCCCTGGCCGTGCCAGCATTACTAACAGGGGAATGGAGTACAGTGGCTGCAGCCGCTTCACGCTGCAAAATCCGGGGCAAGATCGTTTTCTGCTGGACCACAGCAACTTTGGAGAGAGTGTCGCGTCTTCTCCAAAGTCAGAGGAGGTGGGGGGAGGCGAGGTGAGCCGGAAGCTGAAGCGATCATTGCTGCAAGGCTCTGGAATCAATCGCTCATCAATTCACTTACTTTTTTTTTGGGGGGGTAGTGGATGTTGTGACAAAGTTACAAGCAGTTTTCTCGCCCTCTTTCCAGTTGGCGAGCTGACCGTACTACCAGAGAGCTCAGACCGCCTCAATAACATTACAAAAGTCACCCGCCCCGTCTCTCTCATTTTTTCACCGGAGGTCATTTTAACGCTCAGGTTTCTCATAGACACGAAACTCCCTTCCGAAGATGATGTGACTACCGGTTGGATTTTTGTGCAAACCCCAGTCCCGGTCATGGGAGCGATTACCCAACACTCAGAAAGATGATGTTCCTTATGTCAGTCAACGGAATTTGAAACAGTCCGCTTAATACATGCTGCAAAATAGTTGTCCATTTGAGCAAACGTTTCTTGAGAGACACTTTCCAGCTCTGTTTATCAGCAGCTGTTTTAAACAATATCTTGCCTCTTCCCTCGTCGTGCTGAAATAGATAATGAAGGCGCCCTTGATTCATTTTCGACAGGGCGATGCATAACCATCTGAGTTTTGCTGCAGAGCTAATGATGTCGAACTTGAATCAGAAATTGAATAAATAAACGTTCGAAACAACTACAACAAGGCTCCTACTTTTGTTTTGCATGAATGGCTACGAGAGGAATAAAAAGGTTTCTTGATGTTGTTGAGAAGCGAGGTTAATAAACAAATAGTGATGGGGGAGGGGGTGTAGGTGAGCTAGAGTGGGCTAATATGACCGTGTCTTCCACCACACACGGCGAAAAGTTATCAATACTGTGACTTTACCCGGATTGATTCGCTCTCGGTGTTTTGATGCCAGATTGGGAGATGGAGCTGCAAATCGGCTAGTACTCCCCCTCCACTTCTCTTGCTCTACTAGCAAGCTGAAGCCGATGTTTGACCTTGTCACTGCTCAGTGTTCACACCAGCTCCAGTGTTACTGATGTTGAAAGATAGATTTCTCGCCATGACATCATCCAGTCTTCGCCGTGAAGTCTATCATTTTTACTTTGTCTCTCAATACTTGCGCTGAGATTTTGCGAAATGTTCACATCCACCATGCAGTTTCACCAAACACCCATTTTAGCAGAAATCTAACATCTAACAATGTTTACCCTCAAATGGCTCGTCTCCCGAATCCCATTTATGTTTCACAGCAACCTCGAGCCTAACTTTTTTTTTGCTGTTTGAGGGCACGTTTGCCACCAGTTCCAGCAAAACCCACTCCCGCCAGAATATTTAAATTACGAAATGTACTGCAACATGAAACATTCTGAATCCCCTTCCCCCTCCACCCAAAAGCGACAATTGCTGAATTATCAAGGAAAAGTGCTGAGGCTTGGCCGCTGGGAAACTCCATCTCAAACTGTGAAAGCTACCGCTGCCTCATCCTCACTGAACTTTCACTTCATCCGCTAGAAATCAGCGGTTCCGGAATCATTGGATAGCGAATGTAACGTCGATTGCATTCGCAATAATCGAATAAATCTCCTTTTTTGAAAAAAAAGCTTCGAATATGCATTTCAAATCCCACTCTCTTGGCGAATGTACGAGTGAGCGGCAAGATTCAAGTTTCTCAAGATTCATTAACTATGCATATACCATTTTTAAAACAAAAATCATTTTAATAATTTCTCTGCAAATGGCCCTTACATATTTCTCTGATTTGGTTAAAGTACACAATCCCTATCGGGCCTCCAAATCTAACAATTATCGCACTGTTGACCTTTCATTGGGGAGCACGTTATTTTAAATATCTACAGTCTGAAACAAAGAGGCACCGCAAACTATTTCTTAACCTTGATCAGCCGAACTCCAGACACCATTCAGCCATAACACATCTGCTTTATATCGATCTGTCAAACCCGGATTCCTGGAACACTTCCACTCCCACCACTATCGTGCAAACTTCAACTGTCCACTCGCCCCAAATCACGATTAAAAGCGAGTAAACAGAACGAACTTCATTTGGGCTCTTTGCTCATCCAGAACGAGACTCCCACAACACGATTTTATCTCTCTCAGTAGAATAAAGCGGGGAGGGGGGGGAGTTGGCAGGAGAAGGCCATTCGCTTCCCCCCCCCCAACCCTGTCCACGCTGGCTGTAATGGGGGAGCTGTCCAATATCGTCCCATCTGTCCGGAACGGAATTCGTTAGCGTGCGGGCACGGAAAGCTGCCACAATTTCCCACCACATTCTGCCTCACCTTTACCCGATTAGCAGGTTCGGCCCATTCACTCTCTTTTGAGAACTAGCCGGGGGGGGGTATCCTATCCAGACGCACTCCCACCTCTCTTTCGCCCTTGCTTGCAAAGTTGCCCTGCCTCAAAAATTGCTTTCCTCTGGAGTTGCTCCGCTCCCCGCGGTTGCACATTCGAATTCTCCGGGTGCCTTACCTTGGACTGCCTGTGGTATTGCTTGCCCACGATGCTGACCACCGGGATCTGGATGGTGGACGACAGGAACTCCAGCTGCAGCAGCTCCCCGGTGCTCTGGGGGAAGGCCAGCAGGGCGCTGACCCCTTGCACCACCACCGTGCGGCAGACGCTCTCCAGGAAGGACTGCGGGTCGCGGCGAGAGGCCGGCGGCACGCCGAAGGCCGGCAACTCCCCCAGGCCCGTCTCCATGCCCATGACCAGCTCGACCGACAGGTTATAAGGCAGCAGCTCCGCCGCCCGGGCGTTGAGTCGCCGCACGGCCTGAAGCAAGGCATCGCGGGCGGCCCCTGACCTGACGGGGCCGGGCAGCGGCGGGGGTCCGGGATGCTGCTGCGGCAGCAGTAGCACCGCGCCTAGGCGCACCGTGCGCCCGATGCGCTTGAGGATCTGGCAGGGCAGCTCAGCGTCCCTCCGGCAAGCGGGAGTGCCGCTCACCAGCAGCAGCAGCAGAAGGGCGCAGAGCGGCCGCAGCAAAACCCCCGGGAGCAAGCGGCTACTCTGCAACACTGTCATCACCTCGCAACAACCTTGGGCTTGAGGGAGGTGTGTGTGTGTCTGCGTGCGCGTGGTGGGGCGGGGGTGGAAAAAGTAACAATAAATTAAAAGAGAGCCAGCAATCAAACACTGCAAAATAAAAAAAACAAACAAAACTTCAGCTTCACACTCCCCTCCCCTCTTACCACCTCCTCCCAGAACACAAATAAACGATGCAAAAGGGAACAAGGCTGCAAAATGCAAGGGGAAAAAAAAACCAAAGCAGTTTCGGAGTGTGCAAAGAAAGTGCAAAGAAGAAGAACTAGCTTTGCTGGTGATTGTTTTGCACGCGAGGTTGCGGGAGGACGAAACTTGTTGCCGCTTTGGTGCGCGCGGTGCCGCGTCTCGCGCTGCCCAGCGCCACATTCCACGTTCCATCCATTGTCCGACAGCGAGGGGGCGTGGGTGGGCGGGGCCACGGCGGCCCGGCAGCTACTGCGCCTGCGCTGTAAGCCCCATCCGCTGTTTCGGAGTGGGGGGCGCCAGTTTGGGCTGGCGTTTTAACATGTGCGTTGGCAAGATTTTGTTCTTCTCTGGAGGGGGTGGCGACAGGCTATTTCGTCCGCAGATGCTTTCCCTTTCCCTCCCTAGTTTGGACAGCAACGATGCCAGCGCTGGATTTTATCGTCGCCCACTTTTTTTTAAAACCCCAAAATAAATCGGGCGCGCAACCCTCCAGCTGGATGCTGGTGGTCAAACGCTTAGGGGGTTTCTTTTGGGCATCAGCCTCCCCCACCCCTCCCTGCGGCAAAACCGGGTGGCAGAAAGCGTTGAGCATTACCGTCAGACCGTGTGGCGTCCGTGCTCGTTCTCCATGGAGGTGGACACAACTGTGAAAGAGAGAAAGGCAATTGAAATGCCCCCACCTTCCCAGAGGCAAAAAACTGGTGAAATCTGCAAATGGCACATTACTGGTCCAACTCATCTTCTATACCGCAAAATGGAGCTCCAGTACGACCAAATGTACATTTCCAAATAATAAGCGCTTTTGGACATTTTATTCCCCCTCCTGGTTCCCATCAACATCTGCACAAGTGGGTCATTGCCCTCATCAGCCATGATCCAGTGGGCTGCTCTCCTCCCCCACTGAAGTCTCAAGGTGCTGGGTTCAAGTCCTGCTGCAGGACTTGACAGTGTGACTCCCCAGGCTCAAGTCCTAATACATTACCACACAAGTGCTGCACTGTCAGAGGTCACGTCTTTCAGATGAGGTGTTAAACTGAAGGCGTTGTCTTTCTTTTCGGATCCCACTGTGCTATTTCTAAGAGGGGCGGGAGATCCCCAGTGTACTGCCCAGGATTTTATTGTTGATCAACATCACTTAAAAACAGACTATCTGGTCACTATAGCCTTACGGTTTATGGGAGCTTGCTGTGTGGAAGTTGGCTACAGCTTTTCCTGCATTACAAATATGATAACACTTCAAAAGTACATTGGCGATAGGTTTTTTGGCATGTATGGTGTTCACATCAAGTGCTGGCTAATACAAGTCTTTCTACTGTCGTGATTGTAATGAGGTCAGCCAGGTGGACCTCATAGAATATGAGTTCCCTGATTGGGGCCTTTAACCTGGTCCAATCAGGGAACCCTGGCTGACAGATTAAAACAGGAGTTTCAGGCATCCTGATCATTCTGACAGCTGGCTCTGAGGGAGCTGGATCAGTGTCAGGGGCTCTCCACATGTAAGAAAGGGTGACTTGGTGACAGAATACCACTCTGTGGAGTTATTTCAGTGGCAATGAGAGAAAAGCATGCTCCTGAAGAAATTCGCTGACAACAGTCGTCTTTGAATTGGGGTTAGCATTTCTGGCATCATGCCGTTATTTGGGAAGCTTAACTTGTTTGATCTTGCCATTGAAGATATGGAAAGAATGTGTTTTTTTTTCCAGGCAAATGATACAGCACAGATGAAAAGCAACATGTAATTTTCCTGACAGCTTGTGGACTCTCAGCTTTTCTCGTTATTAGGAGCCTAACTTTCCCTAAGGCACCAGATACTAAATCCTTTCAAGAGTTGATGGATTTAGTTAAGGAATTTTACAATCCCATGCCTCTTCTAATTCTGAGATGCGATCGATTTTACTCGGCAGTTCGAGAACCAGGGGAAACTGTATTGGGATTTTTAATTCGGTTAAGATGACTGACAGAGGGATGTGATTTTGGTTTAATCCTTAATGAGATGCTGAGAAACCATTTGGTATATGGGATTAATGATGTAACCATGTAAAAGCACTTAATAGCTGAAGCCCAACTGGACTTCAAACAGGCAGTACAACTGGCTTTACCATTTGTAAAATTCCTATGGAAGTAGACACCCGCACCAGTCCAAATGAGTTTGGGAAAAACCACTTGAGTGAAAGCAATTGCGTAGCCTCACTCAGCATATATCCTGAACAGAGGGCTCTAGGTCAGCCCACAACAAAACCCCAAAATAAAGCCAAGCCTCAGCCAAGTGGTTAAAATTTTCTTCAGGATCCAGCCTGGCAAGCCATTGTGCTTGCTGCCAGTATGCAGATTCGAGACAGCAAAACAGTCCCGCCAGACATAAATGGAGTATGAGAACTTATAGGCTGGTATCCAGGAGAGTGCACACCCTGGAAAGTCCACCTACATCTAGTTTGGAACAGTCAAATCGCTTAGCAACACCCAAATCAGAACCAATCAAAATAAATGTCTGGTTAAATGGTCACCCAATTCTAGAGGAGGTCAGTGCCAGCGTGGCTGTTTCAGTGATTGCAGAGCCAGTCTTCAACAAAATTTGCTCTGCAGTCCAACCATTAAGTTTGTGCAAGACCTCAGCTAGACTGAGAACATATACCGGGGAACCTTTACAGATTAAAGGTACAACTTCGGTTCCAGTATGTTATGAGAAGCAGCTGGTTCAGTTATCACTGATTGTAGTAAAAGGCTCAAGCCCAAGCTTGATGGTTTGAAATTGTTTAAGAAAGATTCACCAAGATTGGCTCAACAATTTTCAATTAGAAAATGGCTGCCTGAGTGAAGTCCTAATTAAATACCTGGAAATTTTTCAGGAAGGTCTAGGGACTGTCAAAGGAGCCAAGGCCACCTTGCATGTTAGAACATGGAACATTACAGCGCAGTACAGGCCCTTCGGCCCTCGATGTTGCGCCGACCTGTGAAACCAATCTGAAGCCCATCTAACCTAAACTATTCCATTATCATCCATATGTTTATCCAATGACCATTTAAATGCCCTTAAAGTTGGCGAGTCTACTATTTTTGCAGGCAGGGCATGCCACGCCCTTACTACTCTCTGAGTAAAGAACCTACCTCTGACATCTGTCCTATATCTATCACCCCTCAATTTAAAGCTATGTCCCCTCGTGCTAGCCATCACCATCCGAGGAAAAAGGCTCCCACTGTCTACCCTATCTAATCCTCTGATCATCTTGTATGTCTCTATCAAGTCACCTCTTAACCTTCTTCTCTCTAACGAAAACAAACTCAAGACCCTCAGCCTTTCCTCATAAGACCTTCCCTCCATACCAGGCAACATCCTGGTAAATCTCCTCTGCACCCTTTCCAATGCTTCCACATCCTTCCTATAATGCGGTGACCAGAACTGTACGCAATACTCCAAGTGCGGCCGCACCAGAGTTTTGTACAGCTGCAACATGACCTCATGGCTCCGAAACTCAATCCCTCTACCAATAAAACCTAACATACTGTACGCCTTCTTAACAACGCTATCAACCTGGGTGGCAACTTTCAGTGATCTATGCACATGGACACCGAGATCTTTCTGCTCATCCACACTACCAAGAATCTTACCATTAGCCCAGTACTCTGTATTCCTGTTACTCCTTCCAAAGTGAATCACCTCACACTTTTCCGCATTAAACTCCATTTGCCACCTCTCAGCCCAGCTCTGCAGCTTATCTATGTCCCTCTGTAACCTGCAACATCCTTCCGCACTATCCACAACTCCACCAACTTTGGTGTCATCCGCAAATTTACTAACCCATCCTCCTACGCCCTCATCCAGGTCATTTATAAAAATGACAAACAGCAGTGGCCCCAAAACAGATCCTTGAGGTACACCACTAGTAACTGAACTCCAGGATGAACATTTCCCATCAACCACCACCCTCTGTCTTCTTACAGCTAGCCAATTTCTGATCCAAGCCGCTAAATCACCCTCAATCCCATGCCTCCGTATTTTCTGCAATAGCCTACCATGGGGAACCTTATCAAACGCTTTCCTGAAATCCATATGGACCACATCAACCGCTTTACCCTCATCCACCTGTTTGGTCACCTTCTAAAAGAACTCAATAAGGTTTGTGAGGCACGACCTACCCTTCACAAAACCGTGTTGACTATCCCTAATGAAATTATTCCTTTCTAGATGATTATAAATCCTATCTCTTATATCTCTGCCCCTCCTATCTCTTAAGTTGACCAGGAAGTAATCCCACAATTCTGCAAGGCCTGCTCAGTACCATTTGCCTTACAGGCAAACGTAGAGGCAGAAATCAGGAGGCTGGAAAGCAAAGGAATCATCCAACCTGTATAGTTTGCAGAATGGGCAGTCCCAGTCATACCAATTTTGAAGCCCAACGGGTTGGCTCGTCTTTGTGAGGATTTTAAACAAATGGAAAATTGCTTTCGCAGCTGGATAAAAACCTAATCCCTTGCATTGAGAATTTACGCACAAAGCTGGCAGGGGGACTGTCCTTCACGAAGCTGGACATGAGACATGCATACTTGAAGTTGTGGTTAGATGAGGCTTCCCAGACGTATGGGACAATTAATACCCATAAGTGTTTGCACCAATGTACGAGACTGCACAGGCTGATGATGCCCCAAATGGCAATTTTTTGGTGGACAGCAGAGAACATTTTACAAGGTCTGTCCCAGGTCGCCATTTATCTAGGTGAAATGATAACAACAGGGAAGGTCAATAAGGACCGTCTAGAAAACTTGGACAGAGACTTTCGACATTTTATCCAGATGGT